ACCAGAAAGCATTTTTGTGAAGGTTAAGGGAGAGAATATCTACACAGCCTCAGAATACTGCCTGGTAGGGAGCAAGCACTCAAAACTGTTACTAATAGCTGTTATTACTCTTGCTAGCAGTTTACAGAGTGAAGTCTCCCATCATCTCAGTGTATCTTTCTCCTCCCCCACTGCCTCCGAGAGAAAGCAGCCAGCATGGCCTTCTCCTCCCAGGTGGGAGAAACTGAGGCCAAGGGAGTGGGGGTGAGCGAACCACCCAAGGCTTTATGTTTGGCAAATATCTGGAGCTTAGAGCAAACCCATGTCTCCTGACAGCCAGCCCTTTGCTTTTCCCAGGCCCACCTGCCTAAGGACCCTGAGCTGAGCCTTGGCTCGGTGGGGAGGTTCACAAGCTCACCTCCTCACCCGGCCACCGCACAAGTCCCCGTACCCCGCAGAGAGCAGCACTGCCCTCCGGGTCTGCCCTGCAGGGCTCCACCAGCTCGGCTCCCGGAGGAATTTGACATCAGTGCCCCTGTTTGGACAGGGCTTTCCAGGCGCCTTTGAAACCCGCGCCCCCGGAAAGCCGGAGCCAGAGGTGTTTCCCACCAGCTTTCCCGGCCGCGCAGAGTCGCGGAAGAGGGGAGTCGCCGCCCCTGCCGCTGACTCCGAGGGCCGGCGCTGGCCCCTGCGGTCCAGACAGGGTCACAGGCTGCCTGCGGCCACTCGGCGAGCCGGCGGCAGGCTGGGATCAAGCGCCCTGCGCTGATTCCTTGCCGGCTGCTCTCGAGCCTCAATTCCTGCCCGAGCGAGCCACCTCCCACCGCGGGCTCTCCCCTCCGCGCTCCCCGCCCCTTCTGGCCTCGCCGTCCCCGGGGATGGACCCTGTGAACCGGGGCCTGGAACCGACGGGCATCCCCTGCGTTTGCCCCGGGGCGGTCAGAGCGGGCCGCGCAGGTTGTCCCCAGCCCCTCCCAGGGTCCCGCAGCCCGCAGCACCCGACAGATGCCCCGGGGCAGAGCCCGGCGCGCCGCGCGCTGTGCCGGAGGCGGCGGGACCAGGACAAGACCAGACGGGAAGCAGCCAAGCGGCCCCGGCGGGAAGCGGGCAGGACCCCGGCGGTGGTCTCGGGGGCCACGGGGTTCCCTCAGGCTCTGCTCCCTGCGAGGGCAAAAGCCCGAGCGAACCCGCAGACTGGAGCAGTTGAGCCAGCGATCCCAGCCCGGCTCTGCCGGCCGCAGCGCCCAGCTCACTCCTCCTGCCCCTTCCCGACCCTGCCGGGTGGCGCGGGACCCGGCAGGAGACCCAAAGCAGGGCGCGAGGAACCGGGCCCGCACAGGGCCCAGGAGCCCAGCGACCCCTGAGCCACGTACCGTCCCCAGGCAGCTCCTCGACGCGGAGCCGTCCCAGTCCCAGGCAGCAGGCGGATTGGGGATCTTGAACCTCCTGGAAGGAAGCCGCGTGCAAACCCCCGCGCTCGCCGGACCAGCCCCTTAAAGGAACACGCGCCCCTCTCCCTCCCGAGGCCTGGGCCCTAAGGGAGGAGTCGCTGTTGACGAGGGCGTGTCTCCGGACTCGGCTGGGGACCACCCCCAGACAGCAGAGGGGCTGGCCGAGCTGCGAAGGGTGTGTCCAGGAGTGGAGGCTGCCACGTCTTTGGGAGAAGGTGAGTGAGGGGTGGAAGAGGAGCGTCTTGCGGGGGAGGGTCCCCTTAGAAAACCTGCTTTACCACAATCGGTGGAACTAAGCAGGGGAGCCGCTCTCCAGCACTCTGGGAGTGGGCTTTGGCCGCCCCCGCCTTTAGGAGAGGGGAGTTCTGTATGCCTGCCCTTCCCCCTCAGAAGGCAAAGGGTGCTGACATCCTCCCGCCCCATCATGAAATCTCCAGCCAGATTCTTAACTCGGTGTCAGGCAGTGATAGTAGGTGCTGACCCCGGTAGGCGGGGCTTGAATGAGTAGCCCTGGGCCCGCAGGAAAGGCACAGGATGCGATGCTCCCGGCAGCCTGCGGGGCAATCAGGCTTCTGACTGGTCCTCAGACAGGGGTGGGCCCCCCTTACGAATCCTGACATCTATCAGCACAGCCATCCAGGCGGCCACCTCTCAGGATGGCTCTGTTTGCACAGGGTGTTTTCTTTTCCGTCCAGACCAACGGGGCCCTGGCCTGGATGGCCCTGTTGTTTTCTCAGCAGAAAAAACTAAGGAGATCTTTCAGCCTCGGCTGGGAGAAGGGTCATAGAGCCACGGAGCCCAGAGCTTCTTCCTAAACATGCCTCACGACCCCCGATGGCAGAGCGTGTGTGTGTGTGTGTGTGTGTGTGTGTGTGTGTGTGTGTGTGTCTATTACATGCAACCTGGAGCAATCAGAGCGCACAGACTGTGAGGATGGGTAACTGCACCTAAAAGGGATGCCAGGCTTGATGGGCAAAGGGAGCCAATAGAGCTTCCTCTGCAGGGAAGAGACGTGTCTGACCACTGAGTGCAGGATGGACTGGGGGGAAATAAACAGGACACAAGGGCCAATTAGAAAACTCTTGCAAGCTTCTCTGACGATGACAGCCAACGTTTTTGAGGCCTCTGGTGGGCCAGGCTTTGCATCAGTACCTCTGAGCATTCTGTCCTTTAATTCCCACAAGGCCATAAAGTCAGCCTTACTATTTCCATTTTACAGATGAACTGAGGCCCAGAGAGGTTAAGCAAATTGCCCGTCACTCGGAGCCAGGATTTGAACTCAGGTTGTCTGACTTGAGGCGTTGAGCGCCTATTCACTCCACCATATCTACATGAGGACAGGAGAGGTAGGGTGAGCAGGTCCCAGCACTGACAGCCACAGGTGTAGGGAGAGCGGTGGACAGCAGGGAGGGTCAGTTAAGCAGGTGGAATCTCAACGCTGGCTCTCTGGACCGCAGTGAAGAAGGAAAAAGTAAATTCACAGAGGTGGCAGTACAAAGCTGTGGACGTGGAGCCAGCCCAGGGAGTGGAGCCCAGGCAGGAGGGGGTCAGGAGTGAGGGGACTCCATCCAGGGTGCCAGGAGAGGGAACTTCAGAAGGCTGTGGCCAACCCGTCCAAGGCTACAAAGCTGAGAAGGGACTGAGAGGTGGCTTAGGCAAGTCCAGAGCCACCTCAGGTCTCCTGGGCCAGGTGGGTGGGGACCTGGTGACCACTGTTCACCAGCCTGCACAGCCAGCCAGCCAATGAGACTGGCCCACAGGAAATACTCGACGTGTGAACGTGGGCAAGTTGGAAGATGAGAAAGAAACTCACGCTTTTGCCTGCTGCAAGTAGAACTCCTAGGTCCGAGCAAGGCTCAGACTACAGTCAGTGACTAGGGAGGCAGAAACATCCCAGAACGGAAGTGCCAGGAAAGATGCTTCTCTCACTGTCTGCGAGTGCCCGGGGCAGACCAGAACAGAGGCTGGGGGTAGGAAATGCTCCCAGGAGGGAGTCCGGAGGCCAGCAACCACCCAGAAAGACTTCCCTCCAAACCCGATCCACACAGCTCCACAGAGCTCAGAAACAGGCAGGAGTGGGCCAAGGGACCCCTTGGGGTGGGAAGTCCCGCAGCCCCAGTTCCTACAAAGACCACCGCCTGGGCCTTTTATTCTGTCCCTGCAGCCCAGAAGCCCTGGCAAAGGCAGCTCTCAGGAAGGAGCGACTTCCAGACTCATTTCCCTGATGTGGCTCCAGCAAAGCCACTCCCTCCCCTTTACAGCCACGGCCCCAGCAGGCCAGTGCCCTGCGCTGCCGCCTCCCGCTGCCCGCCTCCCGACCGCTCCGCCAGCCACTTCTTGATGGGAGGGCGGAGACAGAACCCCTGGAACTTTCCTCCAGCCCTGCAGTGCACATGCCAGCAGCCTCCCGGGAACCAGTGTGCCAGGAGGCCTCATGCCCACTTAACAGAGCCCTGGCCCCTCCTCCCATCGCCCCTGCACCCCGCCCCAGGACCTCTGGCAGCTCCGAAAGCAGCCAGGTTCACTGAGCTTCTGATAGTTTCTCCAGCCCACCACTCCCGCTGCAGACAAAATGGAAATTACCAGGGGAGAAAACCAGAAGTCCCAGCCTGGCCCGCCTTCCTGGCGGGCAGGAGCACAGGCATTCCTGGAGACAGCCGCTGTGCCAGGCAGCAGCTGGGGCCCCAGGGCCAGATGGTTATGGAAGTGGAGGACGCAGGGGAGGAGGTAAAGCCAGGCTTCGAGAACCCACCCCCCCAGTCTCCGTCCTCCTGCTGTCAGCCTGCCTGAAGTAGGGCAGGTGACACAAAGAATGCTGGGCTCAGGGAGGGCTGGCGGTGGGGGTGGGGGAACAGCACCGGCTGGATCCCCTTTCCACGCAGCAATGACGAAGCACAGCAGGAGTTCCGGTGAAGAATATAAATATATTTGGGAGCTGCCTGTGCACCGTGGGGTGAAGAGCCAGCACGGAGGGCCCCGCGCCCACCAGCCTGCCCCCTCCTCCTGACCTGGCTCCTGCGTCTCTCCACAGACCCACCAGCCCCCTTCCATCTTGCTGGGCTCCAGGACGAGGGTCAAGAGAGGTCTCCAGGGAGATAAGGGGAAGTGTCTCGGGGACCAAGCGGCAGTGGCGGGAGTGGCAGCACCGTGGCTGTTATCTCAGCCTGGCGCCTTGGGCCTTCCTCCTGGGAGTGGGAATGTGTGTGGGAGAGGGCTGGGCAGGACACAGAGGCACTTCTCGAGTCAACCCAGAGCCTGGACTCAGGGGTCTGGAGGGTGCAGGGACCCCACACGCCCTATGTCCCCCTTTCCTGTCCACCCCAGACCTACTCGGCTCCTGCAGTGCTGAAGAGAACCGGACGTGTGAGGGCTGGTGGCAGGGGCACGGGGGAGGGGGAGGGGGAGGACGGGGGAGGGAGGGAGGGAGGGGTGACTGCCTGGTGGAGCTGCCTCTGAAAGCTTCCCCTCCCTGTCCCCAGCCCCATTACAATCAGGGAGGGCCGAGGCGGCAGCAGGCTCACAGAAGGCAGGAGGACCAGGGAGGGGCAGGTGGCCTCGGCGGCTCTTCTGGCCACTTGGGCCAGTCCTGCCACTAACAGCCCAGCAGCTCCAGGCGCAGGGTGATGCGGTTGTGCCAGGCTACAGGCAGGATGCGCACCAAGCGAGCCAGGACGGGCGTCTCGAACACGTTCTTCTTGTGGGAGTTGTTGTCCAAGTTGCCAGGGAAGATCTAGAAGCAGGGGCAGTGTCAGGAGGGCCTCAGAGCCAGTCCCCCACCCTCAGAGTGCCAGGCCAGACCCCAGGGAAGTGGGGAGGGAGAGGCGAGGGGAGGGCAGCTGCCCACACGCCCACCTTGCTCTTGCCGGTCCTGGAGTCCTTGACCTCAGTCCATGTCCTGCCATCATTACTGTAGGCCACCTTGTAGGATGCCACATACTGGATACTACCAAAGTCACGGGCCCCCTGGGTGATGACGCCTGTCACCTCCCTCTGGGAGCCCAGGTCGACCTATAGAAGAAAGCAACATTTTCTTTGCTTGAACCATCTCCAGTAAGGTGGACAGAGGCAGACGCCTGGAGCGTGGATTCTAGTTTCAGAAAAGCTACTTGCTTGGCTGAGCCTGTTTCCTCGGCTGTACAATGGGCCGAAATAACACCACCCACTTTGCACACGTGACGTCAGCACGTCACTGCAGTGGAACTCATATTTCCGAGTCTGGGCCCTGGCCAACTCCACACCAGCCCCTGCGTCCGACCTGCACTGGTGTGAGGGGACAGGGATGGGGAGCCACAGCCTGCGGGGCATGCACTGCTCTGGAGGCCCCTCAGGGCTGCCCACGGCCTCACGCTGGTCCTGAACCAACGTGTCCAAAGGCAGGCAGCTCCTCAGGGAACCCAACTCCACAGCGTGCTGCTCAGGGCCCAGAGACGGACCTCTTGCCCCAGTCCCCGGCCACCCCAGAGTGCCTGCCAGCTGCCCCTGGGCGGGCAGTCCCAGGATCCGGGTTGCAGACTCGGCTCACTGCCGGCCAGCAGGTGAGCCCCAGGCAAATCCTCCCCCTGCGCGGACTCAGTTTCCTTATCTATAAAACAAGCTCCAGGTTCCTGTGACACTCTCGTGTTGCCCAGTCTCAATGAAATGCAAGGGCTGTCCCACGGTGGGTTCTCAGACACCGAGTCGGAGAACAGCCACTCTGTGATCGAGGGGAGCGGTCCTGAGACACCTGGGTCAGGTCTCCTTCCTCCCCTTCTCCGTCCCGCCCTGCTGTCGGCGGACTGTGCCTTGTCAACCCTGTGGCAGCCGATGGAAGTGGCTCTACCCCTATGTGCGTGCACGCACACGCACGCACGCACACACACACACACCCTCTCTCCACCTGGGGGCCCCTGGGGGAAGCAGGATCAGGAGGAAGGTGGGGCAGGTCAAAGAGAAAAGCCAAAGAAAAACAAGGCTTTTAAGAAACTCTCTTGGGGAGCAGAAGCCCGGGCTGGTGGGGAGGGCAAAGATCTGGCGGCCCCACCCAATCCCATCCACCGCAGCCCTGCACACCAGGAGGGGCCTGACCCACCTGCAGCCACTCAGAGGCATTGTTGGTCGCGGCGGTCCAGGCGTTGAACTTGCCCTGGTTGTCCAGCCGTGCGTAGAAGGGGTACCAGCCGAAGGCCTGCAAGCCCCAGGTCTTGTAGGTGCTGGAGGCCGTGATCTGCTTGTCAGGGATGGCATGGTCCTTCAGGCCCAGGGGCTCGGAGCATCCTGCCAGCAAGGGGGGCTGTCACCCAGATCTGAGATCACAGCTCCCAGGGTGTGAGTACAAGGCGATGAAGAGGAAGGAACTCTGTGGGTCCTGATTAGCCCCTGGTGTCCTCTTGCACAACAGAAAAAAGCTCCATCTGCTTCCTCTCTGCCTGCCCCACTAGCACCTCTCCTCAGCCAGCTGGGCTCAGTCCCCACGCCCACCCCTCGCTCTCACCCCGGACTTCCCACCCGCCACCCTTCTCCCTCTGAACCAGGGCAACCCCTGCTCCACCACCTCCCAGCCTCCTTCAAAGCCTGACTTGCAAGACACCTCTTCCAAGAAGCCTGCCCTGACCACCTCACTGGGGCAGGACTTCTCCTCCTCTGGACTCCCTGCACTCCCTCCACCAGTCCTGTGCTGCAGCTCCTCCTACATCAATAACCACCTTGCTTATTCGGTGTTTACTCCAGTCATTTAACCTGCCACAGAAAAAACCTGAAGGAGAAATCAGTAACCCCATCGTACAGATGAAGAACCTGAGGCTGAGACATTAAGCATCGTGCTCTCTCACACACACACACACACACACACACACACACACACACGCGCGCGCACACACACACTCCTAACCACCAGGCCACATTGTGACATCATCTCTACCATCCACGCACTCCACCCAGACCACGAAGGCCTGCCTGGTGCTGATCCCGAGATGAACAGGATAACATTCCTGCCCTCTAACAGCTAGAAGTCAGAGAAATCAGAGAACTCCTGGAGCTCAGAAACATTCCTTTATGGTTCTTCCAACAGACCCCCCACTTAGTGTCCCCCAGGGGGCCTTTGTATACTCAACAAATGTTTCTGGGGAGCTGTCACACAGGCCTATGAGGACTGGCCTGTTTTGCACTGGGATCTGCACCTGCACGTGGCCAGAACAGCTGGGATGGGCAGGAGACAAAACTCCAGAGAGGATGATGGGTGTGTCTTCCACCGGGCAGAATCCTCGCCCCGCAACGCAACTGTCTGTCCCTGCGGGGAGCTGAAGGTGGGGGCAGCGGGCCTGGACAGCCACGCGGCCATGCAGAGCAGGCTGTCAAATGGCGCTTCACAGCACTGGCCTCCAGACACTTGCACGCTCGCCACTCAAGACATTTGCCTCCAGGGTGTGCTGGGGGTGCATTTGCCTCCGGGGTATGCTGGGGGTGCCTGTCGATCTGACCATCCCCGTCTGGTGGTGGTGGCTGGCCAGGGAACTCCACCCTCCTCCCACAGACAAGCCACTGGGCTGGGAGCTGGTTGTCCCCTGGCTCCAGGACAGGGGAGGCCTGAGCAGGCTGAAGCCTGGGGCAGCTTTTCAGAGCACACCAATTTGGCAGGCCATCTACAGACCTCCTGCGTCCAGCCGTTCACACCCCCTCACTCTGGGCCTCCCCAGAAGTCAGACAGGTCAAATGCAGCTGGGAGGGCCCCGGGCAGGGGCCAAGGCTCTCAGCTCCAGCACTCTAGGAAGCCCCTTCCCCTCTCCCGGCCTGAGTCTGTCTGTAAAACAAGCTACTAGAGGAGTACTTCTCACAGATCACCTGGGGGTCTTGTTAAAATGAAGATCCTGTTTCAGCAGGTCCAGGGTGGGGCTGGAGGCTGCATCTCTAGGCAGCTCCCAGGTGATGCTGATACTGCTGGTCCGTGGGGCTCCTCACCCACCAAGCTGCCCCTCACACTCTAGCTCCAGCTCCATCCGCCTTCTTTCCATCCTTCAGCAGGCCCCAGGGCCTTTGCACTTACCCAGTCCTCACCTGGAATGCTCTTCCCAAGTTCTTCCCGTGGCTGGCTTTCCATCACTCAAGCTTCTGCTCAGAGGCCATCCCGGCAGAGCAGTCCCGGTACTGGCCCTCCCTTCACCCACTCACCCTCGACACATCACCCTTGCTCTCCTTCAGAGCTCCTTCTGCTCTCTGACCGTCCTTCTACTTGCTCCTTGCCTCAAGTCTACCTCCCCACTGGAATGCAAGTTCCATGAGGTCAAGGATCTCATCAGTATTGTTCCCTAGAGCCAGGTACTCAGGAGGTGCTTAATATATACCTTAACAGATGTCTGTGGAGTTAAACAATCAATTCACCAAGGACACCAAGCCTGCCTGCAAAGAGGAATCGTGGCACGGGACACCCATCTCCCTGTGGGTTCCCGGGTACGCCCAGACCTCAGCCCCAGGCACACACCATGTACACGCACACGCACACGCACACACAGGCACCGGCATTCTCTCCAGTCCACTGGAATGCCTACAGGGACAGGAGTCGCTCCGGACCTTGAGGGAAGCAGACGGGCAGCTTCACCTCTTGGCCGTAAGCGGAGCCAGCGGTGGCGGGATCACGCAGCAACTTTAATAGCCAGAGGCTTCGAGCTAAAACGGCACGTGGCGAGGGACTCCAGAGAGAGAGACAGACTTGGCTCTTTCCTTTACCAGCTGGCTAAATTTCCTTTTAGCAGAAGGCAAGCTCTTTTACTCCCCACTGAAGCAACAGGCCTCAAAGGCAGTGACGCTGGCAGAGAAGCACACCAACTTAAATTATGCTTAAAAACGCTAAATCCAGCCAGGCATAGAACTCAGCTCTGAAGGCTACTGGGTGGTGTCCGAAGTGGGACAGGAACAGGTGTCACAGAAGAGAAAAGGGGACACAGGAGTGCAGGCCTAGGGTAAGCCAAGAAAGGCGGCGCCTACCTCTCTCTGCTCTGTGCTTTGCCCAGCGAGCCCTACAGTTCCTCATGTGGCCAGGAGGTGGCACTGTGGCTGCACAGAGCGGGAACCAGCCAACCAAGGAGAGAGAACCGGGCTGAGCTGGGCTGAGACATCGGTCAGCCCAAACCCTGCGCCCTGGAGCCAGGAAAAACTCGCCTCTTCAAGGGTGCGGTTTTCCTGGCTCAGCAGAAAACCTGTCCCTTTCTGATCACCATCTCTCCATCTGGGAATCTCTTTGGCCTTGAACTCCTGGGCTCAAGGGATCTTTCCCCCTTGATCCTGCAGCCTCAACCTCCCAAAGTACTGGGATTACACGTGTGAGCTACTGCAGGGCCAGGGAATCTCTCTGGAAAGGGCAGCAGGAAGCCCGAGCTCCAAGCCCCATGGTCCCACAAGTCCCATGCTTCTGAGCGCGGACTGCAAGACCCTTGGCAGGAAAAGCGCTGGACGGGTGGGGTCAGAATCCCTGAGAGCCTGACCGAGTTTTAATACCTCCCAGCTGTGTGCCCTTAATAAATACTTTATCTGGGTCTCACTCCCTTCATTCATTCACTCATTCATCAAGCACTGATTGAGCACCTACGAAGCAGACGCTGTTCTAGGCACTGGGAATCGAATCAAAACTGGTCAAAACAAATTCTTTGCCCTCACGAAGCTGACATCTCCAAAACAGAACTAATGACACAGGTTCTAGAAGCTATAGCAACCAACCAGAATAAGTGAATACTTTGAAAACTGAAGTGATGAGTTTTTCTCCACCAACCAGAAGGCCCAGGACCATGGGTCGGCAGACAGCAAACATCTGGGCAGGACCGTGACGGCCAGATGACCCGCTAGTGTGAGTTTCCTGTGCGAGCCCAGGTCCCCGGGCCTCACTGCTGCCCTACCCAGCTCAGCGTGGCTGAGAACAGAGGGGGCAGGGAGGACCATCTCCCGGACCGGGCCGCAGTCCCGGCACTCACCATTCAACTCACAGCCGAGGAGCTCGAAGCGCAGGGTGCAGGCCCACTGGCAGAGCACAGGGAACAGCCGCACATACTGCGTCTCCACAGGGCTCTTAAACAGGTTTAATTTCAGGCCATTGTTGTCCACATTGCCCACAAACACCTAGAAGGGAAGGGTCAAGCTTGGAGGAGGGAGTCCCTTGGAGTGGGCAGACCCCTCCCTGGGTCACCTCATCTTCCTCTGCAGACCTGGGAGGCAGAGGTGGGGCCGGGGAGGGGTGAGGAGGACTTAGCAGGAATAGCAGCCCCTCCTTTGGCCACCCCACAGCCCGCCCTCAACACAGATCCTCCTCTCACACCTTTCTTCGTCATCGCGGGGCCTGGACATAAACCCCTACCATTCACACAGGGTCACCTAAGGAGAGGACACTCCTTTCTCAAAATATTTTATTATGACAGTTTTCTGACAGAAGTCCACAAATGTACAATGTCTGCATTGTGAATGGTACCCACTTAGTAATGGCATCCTTGAACAGTGTACAACCTGCATAACCGTACATGGTAGCCCTGAAGGCTCAGAATGAAACCCAGCTGCACCACCACTACCACCCTCAACAGGTTCTTGCACCATTTTGAGTCTCACTATTCTCATCTATAAAGTGGGACTATTACTTGTAACCACAAAACACGGGCACAATCTGGGTTTCCCAATTTCTGGAAACCAAGATAAACCTGAAGACCCCCTCACGGCCAATCACCCAGGTACCCTCACCTTGTTGAGGGTCGTTGGTCAGTGCTAGAACCCTAGGGGTGCCAACCACACCCTTCTTGAGGGCCCCAACAAGCCCTACCTTGTCTCCTGACTTCTCTGTATCCTGGATGAACGTGAATGTGTGTCCATCGAGGCTGTAGGCCACCTTGAAGGCCTTCAGGTACTCATGAGTACCCACGCGGCTGGCGCCCTGCGTCACCACACCCGACACCCACGTCTTCCGCAGCAGGTTCACCTAGACCCGGGCCGGGGGAGACGGCACCTCATGTCCTGCGTTCTCTCCACCCAAGATGCAGGCCAATCTACTCCCACCCCCAACACCTGAGGGGGAAGTACCCAAGCAGAACAGGGGAGGGGCAGCTGAGCACGCTGTGGAACAGGGCCTTTCTCCTCGGGCACTCTCAGGCTCCAGACCCAGTGCTCACGGGGCACAGCAGGAGGGCCAGGCCCCCAGAGGCTTCACGTGGTGCAAACAGCACCTCCACAGCCTGGGCCTGCTCCCCCCTCATCCCGCCCACCCCCTCCAGGCCCCTAAGGCTGCCCTCCACTTGCAGACACTTTACCCGTGGGAACCTGCTACCTTGCTACCCGAAGCCCAGCTGGGAACCCTCCCACGGTGGCCCCAAATGCAGGCACATTTCATCTCACCTTCTCCTCTCCCATCACCTCGCCCCAGGGCCGGCCCCTGTCCATACCTGGATCCAGGGGTTCTTGTCGTAGTTGCTGGCTGTCCAGGCATTGACGATGCCCGTGCGGTGCAGACGGGCAAGCTCCGGGCCCCAGCGCTGCAAACCCATGAAGCCCACGTACACCGATGAGGCGGAGATCTGCGAGTCGGCGATGTCCCCCGACTCCATGCCCAGAGGAACGGAGCACTCTGCCAGGAGGGAGACGGCAGTCAGGTGGCCACCCACACAGGTTCCAGGGCCCACCTGGGACCCAGGGGACAAGAGAATAAGACCATGTGGCCTCTGCCAAGGACCAAGACCCAGAGAAAACCTCAGAAGCTCACCAGAGCAAAGACCACAAAGGGACAAGGACGGCAGTGCCCAAGAGGAGGTACCGAGAAAAGGTGCATGGTGAGGTGTGGTGAGGAAGAGGAGGAAGAGGATGGGGCAGAGTCACGGGAGGCTGGGACCCAGGGCTGCAGGAGGACCCTGGCCACGATGGCAGTCTTGCGAGATGGAGTCCCCAGCAAGCTGCAGTAGGTGGTCTTGTTCTCACAGGACACTGAGCAGCAGTTATGCTGTGGTGAGGGTGGGACCGATGGGAGAGAACACCCGTGTGACCTCCTCTTCTGCAGTGTCCCCACCCCACCAGGGAGGGTGGTCACCATCCTCAGCCCAGCCCCTGGCTTCCCCAGGAGGGTGGCTTTGTGAGAAAGGGTTCCTCGAACAGCAGTGAACAGCACCTGCACTGCACACAGAGCAGTGAGCAAATCTGCCTGGAGTGTTCTAGAATCCCACTGGCAGGCATTCTCCAGGTGGGGCATATGCCTGGGCCTTCCGCTGCCAAGCAGAGAACCCAGGGACAGATCTTTCTTCCTCCACACCCCAGGCTCAGGCTGAGCTCGGTGCTGTCACACTCGGTAGGGAAGGGAAGCTGCAAAGTGAGGCCAGACGCCCAAGATCAGAGCGGCCAGTGGCTGAGCAGAGAGCGGACCCCAGTCTGCCTCCGAGACTCTCCTCACACCCACTGTGGTCACACCCTCAGGAACCCAAATGTGCGTTCTTTGTGCCTGCAGGGTCCTCTCTGGCTCTGAGGAAACGCACCACATAACAGACAAGGAAGGGCCGCGAAGGTCCCTCTGGGGGCCTTCTTGTGCCTGTGTGTGGCCCCCTGCCTTCTTCCCCAGGTGCTGCCATACCCAGCCTCGGGCAGACCCCAGGCCAAGCAGCTAGAAGGGTCGGTGGGTAATTCCGACTCAGGCACGCCCAGTTACCTCAGCTCCCAGCGCAGTAATTAGTGGGCTCACCTGGCCCCACCCAGGCTCTGCCTTAGCAAGCCCTCCCCCCACACCCTCCTCCAGGATCTCAAACGCACTTGGCCTCAGCCCAGGCACCAAGGGCAGTGCCTCCTGACGTAAAGGGCATCCCGGGCACTTTAGCTGCTCTGCCCCGGGGCCCCCACTCCCACCGAGCTGGCCCCAGCCCTCCCTCCTCCTCTGTGGGTCAGCAAACCTCAGAGCCCACGCCCACATCACCTGCCCAAGTTGCTCAGCCGCTAGCCTGCTGGACTGCAGACCTGCGACCCCCCCACTCCACCGGTCCCGGGCCTACTGTGGGCCCACCCAGGTGAGGAAGAGTCCCAGTGTGGTTGGGAGCACAGGGTGGGAGGCACTCCGGCTGGGCCAGGAGGGAGGAGAGCATGGAGAGCCACTGTGGGCAATGTCAACTGGGCACCCCACCCAGGGCCACTCTGTGGCCGAGTGGATAACCAAACAGGTCAAGCAGGGACAGCCACTCTGCACACACAGGGCCTCTGACCACCTGACCACGAGGGGACAGCCCAGCCTGCCCAGGCCTCCCCTCCTTCCTGAGCTCTGTGATGAGGCCACAGGTCAAACTTGGGCCAGGAACTGTCAGACCTGAGGCCACCCCTGATTTACTAAGTTCCTGGGCCCCAAAAGATTAAGAATGCGTTTGTTTTCCCCTCCTAGGTTAAAAAAAAAAAAAAAAATCCCAAGACTACCCTAATGCTGTGTGTCTGTCTCATGGTGACTCGGAGAACAGCACTCCCAGGACCTCCAGAGTGACCACAACCCCTCACGCCCCTGCAGTGACATCAGGCCTGGCCTGCGGTCCCAAAGGACAGGACCAGGTAGAGAAAAACCTGTGGAGGGACAACAGGACCCTTTCCCCCTACTTGGCCTCACTGAGGCTCCATCCCTCCCTCGATCTCCTCAGAGGTGGCCTTGGCGCAAGGAATAAGGCCAACACGTGGCCCGTGCCACCAGGGCTGTGGCCCAGGGTCTATCCCCAGGAGCAGGCACCCCCAGATACTCACTGGTGTCACAGTGGGTGCCCACGTAGCCCTGAGTGCATAGGCAGGTGTACGGGGTGAAGACATCCCCTCGCTGTTCCGTGGGACTCGCCTGGCATTCGCCATTGTTGTGGCAGGGGTTTGGGGAACAGGGATCTGTGGACAGAGAGGCAGGTGATCAAGAAGGAGCTGGGGACAGAGACAGAAAGCAGCAGACGGGCCTAGCCCAAAAGGACCCTTTGTCCAAACTCAGCCCACCATCTCCTCCCTCTCCCCCTCCCCCAGCCTGCCTGATGGAGCCTGGGCCAGCCTGGCACCCAGGAGGGTGACATATAGGAAAATCAGCCCAAATAAGGGAAGTGCCCAGCTTTCCAAATGGCCTGGGGGTATCCAGAAAAATGCTGGCTGACAACAGGAGAGGTGCCGGGGACCCCTGCCCACTTTGGGACGGGCTGGAAGCGTGGAGTGTGGAGAGGTGGGCAGGGCTCGGGGTAGGTTTCTTCTCAGTCTCGTTGCAAATGAGGCCCGTGAAGCCCTCGAGGCAGAGGCAGTGGAAGGAAGCATTGTCATGGCCCACCACGCAGGTTCCACCGTTCAGGCACTGGCTGGAGTCACAGAAGTCACCTGCAACGGCAGCCCTGACTCAGAGACAGCATGTCCACCACTCAGTGAACATTTGCGGGGGCCAACAACCATGTACGTGCTGAGTCCCTGAGACAGAGACATCAGGTGAGCCCAGGCCTCAGGAAGCCCACGGGAAAGGGGCGGGCAAGCCAACAGAGGACGAGGAAGCCTGCACAGGTGGCCACTGCAGGTACGATTTCTGCCAGGGACAGTGAAGTTTTGCAGAAGAGGGGACATTTGAGCTGGGTCTAAAAGACAGAGTGGGAAGGTGCCAGTCTGGGGAATGAGGAAAGAACATTCCAAGAAAAGCAGAAGAAACAGAGGGCATGGTATGTTGGAGAACAGTAAGACATGGCTGGAAGGGTAGGTCGGGCCAGACTGCGAGGGACCCTAAGAACGACAAGTTTAGATTTTTCATCCTGCAGACCAGTGGCTCTTAACCTTGCGTCAGCCTCCTCACCATTGTCCACCAGGGGGCAAAAAGAGAAAAACAAGAAACAGAGACAGTGTCAATGTGAGGTGGGAGCGGGGAAGCCAGTTCCAGTCTGAGAAGGAGAAAGCTGAAAGGCCCACGCACAGACACGACAGGCTCCCCTGGGGTGGGGTCTGGTAGCTGCAGACAGACCCTCCAGCTGCAGGGTGGAGATCCCCCCAGGAGGGCAAAGGGGAAGGGCAGGTCAGGGCCCAGGGCCAAGGAAGAAGAGGTGGGGAGGAGGGCTGGAGAGGCCACCAGGGCTGGTGGATGGGGGCTGAGTGACAGGTGTGCACTATCAGTCCCAAAGGCGGACACAGGAGCAGGAGCAGGAGTGGGCTGGGGTCAGACTGCATGTAAGGGCAGCCAGGCGGCCCTCAAATCCTACCCGCATCCCATGCCCATAAGGGAGGAGTCCCTTGAAGGCTGGTTCCTTCCACTCCCTTGGAAGTCCACCTTACCCCTGCCTGCCCTCGGTCCCTGGACTCTGGTGGCAACCAGTGAACTGCAGCCCACTGGGTGGGCCGGGCCCAGGGAGAGTCCATTAGCTGACCTTAGCACCCCAGAAGGGCTGCCCCAGACCTGACACCCAAATCCGTCATTTGGAATAAGACATGAGAAATCCTGTTTCCTCCCCTCCTGAAATCCCAAAGCCCCCACAGAGCCCACCCGGCTCAGGGGAAGGCCACACCATTAATGAGCCCTCAAGCTCCACCTCAGCAGGGCCTTGGGGCTTAAGGCAGCTCCCAACAGGCTATTAGTCATTGGCTTTAAATAGCAGGTTAATCTCCTCCCCTGACCTGGCAGGCTGCACACTGGCTGGCAGGCTTGGGAAGGGACGTTCCTCCCACTCTCAACCACAGGGTCCCCTATGCTGCCCCAGGGCAAAACGGGCCGGTAGGGAACCAGGGGCAGTGAATCCCCCACCTGGCCACGCCTTAGGCTGAAGAGGCCGGCCCACCTGTGTAAGGCAGCTGAGGCGCTTCTCCTTTCCGGGAAAAGTCAGATCACCTTCTACAAAACCACCTTCGGGACATGAGGGTCCTACTCTTTGGGAGACTTCCCCAGGGACATCTGGCCAGGGCTCAGGTTGAGGGGGCAGACAGGAGGAGTAGAAAGGACCGGGAAGACCCAGCCATCTTTCTCCCCGGGTGGCCGGGGAGAGCCAGTTGCTCCCATGTGCGTGGGAGCCCGGAGCACCCTCACGGCCTCAGCTCCAGCCCTAGGGGTCACAGGACAGTGGTGCTGGAGCCCAACTGCGACCTCCCTTGCTTCAGCCAGTCCCATTTCTACGAGAAAATGATGGAGCAGCTGCCTGGCCGCCCCCAGCGGGCACCCCCTTCCCAGCGGCGCCTCGGTGCAGGGCATGGGCGTCCCATGACCAGCACAGCGAGGCCGGGCGGCGCGGGAGGACGGGGAGACACAGCCCGCCAAGGCCGCGGGAGGGAGGGAGTCGGGAAACGCCCCACCGGGAGGCAGCCCCTCTCCCTGTCCCTCCCCGGCCGCTGCGCCCCTCCTGGGCCCACGCGAGCCCGCGTCTATCCCACCAGTCCCGGCCCTTCCCTGATCCGCCCGGGCGCACGCAGGAGGGGTCGCAAAGATCCACTGAACTGTCCAGCCACCGAGCTTGGGAGGGGAATGCGGGGGAAAGTTGGCTGGAGATTCATCCACACAAGGGTCCTAGAATCTTCCAGGCAGAAGGGGTTCCAAAGTCAAACACAGCTCCACGGCTTCCCTTTACAGACGGGAAAACAGAGGTCCGACACAGCGGATTCCTTTGTCATGTGTAAGCCACATCCCTGGGGACAGCAGGGCTGTCACCCAGTGTCCCGAGCCGCCGCCCAACGCGCGAGCCTCCATCCGTGCCCCAAAGCCCGGGCGCAGGACCGCAGGAGGCCGCGCGCCCTCGCCCGCCGGGGCGCAGCGGGAGAAGCGGCCCTCGGCGCGGCCCCCGCGCTTCGCCCAAGTTTGTAAACAGCGGCGGCGGCAGGAGGGCGCGCGGCGAACTTCCGAGCGGCGCGCAGAGGGGCGCGCGGGCGGCGCGGTGCACTCACCGGAGGCGGCGCGGAGGCCGGAGGCGCAGAGCAGCGCGCCGCACAGCGCGGCCAGCAGGCGGGGGTCCGGCATGCCTGGGGACGCGGGCGGGGGCCGCACGCTCGCCGGTGCAGGCCGCGGGGTTCTCGCTCCTTCTGCCCGACCGGAATAAATCCCGCAGCTCAGCGCCTCCCTCCAGCGCATGTGCTCCGCCCAGGCCGGCCGGGCGGACTCGGGGCGGGGCTCCGCGGCAGGGGAGGGGACCGTGGTGTCCACCGCCCCCGCCCGCATCCCGCTCCAGCCAACGGCTGGCTCCTGGGTCCTGAGTCTATTGGGCAGGGAAGGGCTCAGGAGGAGTTAAAGAAATGATCTTAGGTTTAAGCAAAGATGATAAACTTTATTCATAATCAGAAGTGCAAATTAAGACTCCAGTGGGCGCCGTGTTTCCCTTCTCAGGTTGACAAGTATCAAGATGTTAGCAGCTAGTGGAGGCTGTGCGGAACAGGTTGGAGCACGCTCTGTTGAAGAGAGTGTACATTGGTTCAACTTTTCTAGAGGGCTATTTGGTAATACCCATCGAAATGACACATGCTGACACCGTAAGACCGAGCATTTCCACTTACAAGCATTCATTCTGCAGAAACTCACATGTGCAAAATGACATGTGTACAAAGATGTCATACCAGCATCGTTTGAAATGGTAAAAGACTAAAAAAGGAATCAGAAAACTTTTTTTGTAAAGGGCCATGTAGAAAGTATTTTAGGGTTTGTAGGACATAAGGTCTCTGTGGCAACTATTCACCTCTGCCCTGGTAGCAGGAATGCAGCCACGGATAACACGTAAGGAACTGGGCTCTTGGTTGCCTGAGGGGAGGGAAACCAGAGCAAGCCTGTCACAGTTGACTTTTTGCTAAATGATTCTTTCTTGTCATGTGCAAATATTACCTGTTTACGAATAAGGGATTTTAATAATGGTGTTCCAGGCAGACTGGCAAACAAGCAAACAAAAAAGTAGAGTCACATCGCTCCCCTACCAGCTCTGTTGGGACCCAGGTTGGGACTAGAGTCCATTGGCAGAGGCCCTTCTTTAAAACTGTTCAGAAGGAGAAAAAATCACTTATGATCAAGTCAGTTGTCACAGAAAAAGCATTTGATAATATCCAATTCCCTTCATGATAAAATACTCCACAAACTAGAAGTAAAAGGGAGCTTCCTCAACCGGACAAAAAAAAATCTGTGAAAACCCACAGTTGCTATCATTTTTAATGGTTTCTCTAAAATCAGGAACAAGCAGGGCAGTCTGCTCTTGTCGCTTTTATTCAACACTGTACTGAAGGTCCTAGCCAGGACAGTTAGACAAGAAAGGGAAAATACATCTAGATTGGAAAGAAGGAAGTAAAACTATCTCTGTCTATTCACAGATGACATGATCTTGTATATAAAAAACCCTAAAGAATCCACACATACATAGGCACGCATGCACACACACACACACACACACACACATACACACACAAACTATTAAAGGTAATAAATAAGTTTAGCAAGGTTGCAGGATACAGGACCAATATATAAAAATTGGTTGTATTTCTTCTACGAGAAATAATCCAAAAATGTAATTAAGAAAACAATCCCAGCCAGGCATGGTGGCTGACGCTGGTAATCTTAGCACTCTGGGAGGCCAAGGTGGGAGGATCGCTTGAGGTCTGGAGTTCGAGACCAGCTTCAGCAAGAGCAAGACCCTGTCTCTACTAAAAAATAGAAAGAAATTAGCCAGGCAACTAAAAATAGAAAAAATTAGCCAGGCGTGGTAGCATTTGCCTGTAGTCCCCAGCTACTCAGGAGGCTGAGGCAGGAGGAACCCTTGAGCCCAGGAGTTTGAAGTTGCTGTGAGCTAGGCTGATGCCATAGCTCCAGCCTAGGCAATGGAGGGAGACTCTGTCTCAAAATAAAAAAAAGAAAAGAAAAGAAAAGAAAACAATCCCATTTACCATAGGATTACAAAGAATAAAAATACTTAGAATTTAACAAAATATGTACAAGGCTTGTACACTAAGCACTTGCAAATATTGTCAAAAGAAATTAAAGAAGACCTAAATAAATAGAAAGTTATCCCGTTCATGAGTTGGAAGACTTGGATCATTAAGATGGCAGTACTCCCCAAATTGATGTACAGATTCAATACAATCCCTATCAAAATTCCAGCTGCCTTTTTTGTAGAAATTGACAAGATGATTCTAAAATTGATATGAAATGCAAGGGACCCAGAATAGCCAAAACAATCTTGAAAAAAAAAAAAAAGAATCAAGTTGGAAGACTAACACTTCCCAACTTCAAAACTTACTACAAAGCTACATAAGTAAAGCTCTGTATGGCACTAGCATAGAGGGGGGTATAGAACAATAGGATCAATGGAATAGAAGTGAGAGTCCAAAATTAAATCCACACAACTATGGTCAATTGATTTTTCAACAACGATGCCAAGACAATTCAATGGGGAAAGAATAGCCTTTTATTTGTTTATTTTTTTAACGCATACCTGAGCTCCAAGAAAAGTCTTTTAAACAAATGGTGCTGGAGCAACTGGATAGCTGCATGCAAAAGAATGAAATTGGACCCCTACCTTACAGTTTATACAAGAATTAACTCAAAGTGGATCAAAGACCTAAATGTAAGAACTAAAACTACGAAACTCTTAGAAAAAAATAGGCATAAATTTTCATGACCTTGGATTAGGCAATGATTTCTTAGATACAACACCATAAGCACAAGCAACCAAAGGAAAAAAAT